GTCTTTTTTGAGTAAACCACTTAATAAGTCCCTTGTCAACCTTTTCATGTGCAGATAATTTTAACTTCCTACATCTAACATTTGTTTTGTCATACCCTGATAAAATGTTTTCTCTGTTCTTCCATATTGTTGCAACAGTAGACTTTCCAAGTGCTAATTGCTTACAAATGTCACTCTGCTTTACTCCACTTTTTATTTTGTTAATAATCTCGTACTTTTCATTTAGTGAAAAATCTTTGCGTTTTTGTTTTTCCATTCTAAAACGATTTACATGCATAACGCGTTAAAAAACAAGTCACTGCCTGTCTCTCGCTCTCACTAATATAAACAACTCCGCACGATTGATGTTGTTGATCGTGGAAGTTCGTTATAAAAGGAAAGTGAATATACAACTAACCTAAAAAGTGATCGTTATATCCAGAAGTTCGTTATAAACGGGTTTGTTATAACCAGTAAAAAAATACGTTGGTTTTTATGGACGACGTTTCAATTAAAGGAAAAAAGTTCGTTTTAACGAAAGTTTACTATAACCGGGTTCATTATAAGCGGACTTTACTGTATATAGTATCCTGTTTTCGATACTTTTATAGGGTATCTCCGTAATTGTTAGAGCTATCAAAAAAGTAGTATTAGTGTCATGTGCTTTATAGGTCAAACTTAAAATCGTAAGATCAAAATTTCAAAAGTGTTGCTCGTTTAAGAGGGAAAATCAAAAAAATGTCAATTTCAAATTGTATATACTTTCCTGACTGTGTTTCAATTCCAAATCAAAATTAATTCCTGGGTTTCAGTCATTTATTGTCTCCATTTATCAATTAACATACGTTTCGGTGTATTTTTCCACCATCATCAGTTTTTCTAAAATAACACAGTTAAAAAAAAAATCATTAATTTAAAAAACAATCACAGTTCGTCAACACAACAGAAGTTGCATAATTTTGATTTTGATAACACAAAAATACTGATTAACGAGAGTAATTATAATAAGAGAAGAGTCCATAAAATGATACAGATTAAAAAAACATAACAATGCTATGAATTTCAGATCGGATACCGACAATCTCGGATACCGCTCAGTATATCATACATTAATTAAATGAAATAAACATAGAATATTAACTAACACCCGGTATATTGAAGAATTTTGCAAACCAAAAATAATATCCTCAGAATGCAAAGAAGAATAGCTGAAAGTAAAAGAAATCAATATAAACAGTATTTTATTCGCTTTGTGTCCAAAATGGACAAAATTAATACTCCAAATATATGCCAAGGCTTAAAGCAGCAACAACGCTACACATGTAAGTAAAAATATTTAATTATCTGAACAAAGAATTCTAGTCTCTTCCCAAATTTGATTGTCCTGACTAATCACCTGTTAGGCCTAATTAAGTTTAGAATCACATTTAGGAATGTTTTCCGGGCTTTGAAGCCGTGGTCTATGGGAATTTCTTCCTGACGTTTCGTCCACAACTGCGGTGGACATTATCAAA